TAGAAGACCATAAAGCCCTTCACACCAATAATTATATTAAATCAATTATTGAAAACTTTCTAGTCCATTTAAATTTCCCAAGGAAAAAGTACAATTGGGGCAGAGGGACCAGGAATAAGAGTGAAAAGAATAAAAAATAAAAATTTGAAAGATGGGCCTTAAATAGAGGGGACTCCCAATCTGATGGGAGCCATTCTACACAATTTTGGGGGAAAAAATCATTTCACAGTTAAATTATGATTGGGGCCGTATGAGGCCTTAATAGTCCCATGATATGACACTCAAAGGCAAGATTACATCAACTGACGACATCCTGGTTCTCTGAGAATGGAGTAATACAAAAAGAAAAAGGTTTCACCTGGGGAAGGACAAATTCCTTATCAACTTAACTCACCCCACCTACTGTTGTAAGAACATTTTGTTCATCTCATTTTCCTAATCACCCAAAGCTCATCAACCGAAGATCCTCATAAGTGTAAGATCCCCATCATAGGATTACCACGACCCTCCAAGACATCTGATAGCTCCTCCAGTTGATCCTTGTCAATTTAGGATTATGGTCAACCTCCGAGTCATCTAGTACTCCCTATGAACCAGACAGTAGCAAGCTTGGAGTGCCTTTGTTTTCGCTGCCCAGAGCAGCACTAATCAGGCCCAAAACCCAGCTTTTTCTCTAGGCCTTGTTTCTTTTATTTTTGTTTTTAGTTTTTAGTTGTTGTTGTTTGGTACTAGGGATTGAACTTGGGACCTTGTGCTTGCGCTGCCAAGGCAGGTGGCGGCACCCCTGAGCTAAATCCCTGACTCTCTTACATTTATTATCAGCTTTGTGTTGTAGTGGCTCACAGGAGACCAGAACCCACTGCAGGGATTCTGGTAGCATCCCCTTTCCCATTTCCTATACCAATCAAGAATGCAGTCCACAAGTTTGTGGTCATCAGAACCAAGGAGTTGATGAATGGGCTTTAGAGTTCTCTGAGAACTCACTTGTACATTAATTCTTGTAGAAGTATTCTTTTGGGGGAGGAAAAAGGAACTTCTTTCCAGTGCCAGGACCTCTACCACTGAGATGCATCCCCCCACCTTTTTTTCAGACAGCATCTTTCTGTCACTAAGTCACTATGTTGCCCAGGCTGGTGTACAACTTGCAGTTCTCCTGCCTCTGTTTTCCAGAGTGCTGCAGTTACAGGCATGGGCCAGCATGCCTGGCTAGAAGGAATTTTATGGCATAATAAATGGCTTTAAAGAAGGCCCTAACCTTAACAACTCCTTTAAAATCACTCATTCCTCCAATGGTCCAGGAGACTGGCATGTGTGAGGTACTTTGTCAGGGGCCAGGCTACTAAGTACAACATTCTCAGTTCTTGCCCTCATGAAGGGTCCAGTCTAATAAACAACTGTAAAATTATACAGGGACATATTTTAAAATTATAATTCTATTGCAGTGGGGTACAGGAAGATGGATGCATTACTGTCAAAGACAGCAGGAGGGGAAGAAGATTTCAGGCAGCACTTGTAAAGGACCAAAGCTGGAAGCAAGCTGGCATGTGCAAGGGACTGAGAGGCAGTGGCAAGATTGGGGTTGAAAAAGTGGCCCCGAAGTACAGCCAAATGGAGGTATGTCACACAAAGCCTTACAGGCCATGTGCAGGACCCGGCCCCATCCCAGGTGCACCTGTAGACTGCCGGAGGGTTTTCAGAAGACTGATTTGATACCAATCTGAGAACAGATTTAGGTCATGCCCTGTTGTTCCTGAGATCTGGTCTCATCTGCTCAGGGGTGCAATGCAGGACTTCCAGAGTGGTTAATGTGTGTTATGGTCTGGATCTAAAATGCCCCCCAAAAGTCTGATGCACTTGGGAGTTATCTGGATGATCATGGGGCTGAACTCAGTAGCTGAAAGTGTTGTTAGGAAGGGGGGCCTGGCTGGAGGTGGCACCCTGGGGGCATGAGTGTATTCTGTACCCTGACTCCCTCTTCTCTTACTCTGCCTCCTGGCTGTCACCGGTTCAGCATGTTTTTTTCTCTGCCAGGGCCCTTTGGCATCCTGTTTATGCCTTAAAGCCAGCCAACCATGAACTGAAAGCGTGAGCCCGAAATAAACCTTTTTTCCTTTAAATTGCAGATGCTGGGTATTTTGTCCCAGCAACAGGAAACGGAAACAGTGCTGCACACATCATGATCTACCACTGGGGAACAAGGGTGAGCAGCTCTCAAGGTGTGATCACCCTTCCAAATCCTGGGCTCGCACAGGGCTGCTAAGTTGGAACTGTGTCAGACGCTGGTGTCCTCATTGTAAACCCTCCTGATCCCACTCCTGCTAGGCAAGCAAGGGGGACACAGTTCGAGGGGACAGGGCTTTTGGATTTTGTCCTGTCGACAGGGCTCAGTTTAACCATTTCTGTATTATTTTTTCCCCTACAAACCTGGTAAATAACTCGGCTAAATGACCCAAGGCCCCAATTTTTCAAATGATAAAGGTGGAATTTGTGTCCTGGCAGGCATTGTGTTATGAGCAGGGCTTGGAGGGCAGAGCCAGGTTCAGGACCAGGAACACCAACTTCTTATCCAGATCCCCTTGGGCACACACACCTCCCCTCCCTGTCTCCTAGTTTCTAAGGGGACTAATATGTCCCTTCTTACATATTTCTCCTGAACTTGTTTTACATACTCCACCTTCTTCTGAGTCCCTTGGGCCTACACTTGTTTTAGACAAGGAAGCTAACATTTCCTCATTCATCTTGACTTTAAAAAGGACTTTATGATCAGGAAGATAATCTCAGAAAAACTGCTTAGAGAAAAAACAGTAAACGACTTTAAATGTACATCAGTATCAAGCTGTCAGAATGTGTAAAGCCTGATGAGACTGGAAGGGTATGGAGGAGCAGGCTCTTCTGTGTCCCCGTCTAATATAGGCAAGGTTATCTTTTTTTTTTTTTTTTTTTTTTTTTTTAGGGATTGAACACGGGTCCTTGTACTTGTGCAAGGCAGGCCACCGAACTCTGAGCTAAATCCCCGGCCCAATATTTGAGAATATCAAAGTTATCTTTTTGGAGGACAGTTTGTTGATATCAGAACTGAACATGTTCATACTCTCTGATGTAATTGTTTCAATACTAGGAATTTTCCCTACAAAACGACTTGCAACAGTGTTTTACACATATAGGAGAAGCATTTGCTGAAGCACTGATTATAATACTGAATAACCAGAAAGAATCTACACATCATATGTCCTCTACCAAATACATTATGGGACATCTATAAAACTGAGTATTTGTTCAAAATGATGCAAATTACAGTGATTAACTGAACATCTATTACATGAACTATATTAGTCTGGAAACAAACTGCAGAGCTGGGCATGGTGGCACATGCCTGTATAATAGTACTCTAGGAGGCTGAGGCAGGAGGACTGCAAGTTTGAGCCCAGCCTTGGCAACTTAGCGACTTACCAAGACCGTCTCAAAAGATAAAAATGGTTCAATCCCTGGTACCAAAAATAAAAAAGATAAAAAGGGTTGGAGATGAGTTCAGGATGAAGGCTCTGGGTTCCATCTCCATTATTGGAAAAAAAAATAAAAATAAAAGTGTGGAAAACATAAAAATACTTCTTTAAAGGATATGTAGGTATGTGTTTACCTTTATTTTCTTCTGGAAGAAAACCCAAGAAACCAGTAACCTGCTACTTAGGAGAAACTATAGGGTAGGGAAAGTCATTTTCTTCCCTTCCTTCTCTCTCACTAGGAATAAAGCCAGGGCCTCAAACACATAAAGCATGTGTTCTACCACTGAACTACACCCTGGACCAGCAGCACTGCTTCTTCTGGACCTGAGAATGGAACCCAGGGCCTCACACATGCTAGGTGGGTGCTACCCCTGAGCTATATCCTCAGCTCCTTTCACGTTGAGACAGGGTTTCCTTAAATTGTCCAGGCTGGCATTCAACCTGGGACTCTCCTACCCCAACATCTCAAGTAGCTGGGATTACAGGTGTGTGCCGTTGTGTTCCTCTCTACATTAAGGTCAACGGGATAATTATTTGTTTTCTCTGTAACTCTTGTTTTATAAAATCTTACTTAAAAATAAATTTTTTTTTTTTTTTTTTTTTTGGTACCGGGGATCGAACTCAGGTCCTTGCACTTGCAACACAGGCAGCGGCACCACTGAGCTAAACCCCCAGCCCTAAAAATAAATTTTAACAACACTAAAGTTTAAAAAATGTTTCATTTACTTTAACTGTCCCCAGAGATCATATGAGAGGACCTTTCCAGCAGTTTTGAAGAAAGTACTTTTTAGTCAGGTGCAGAGACAAATACCTTTAATTCCACCTTCACAGGGGGGTGAGGCATTGAGTGAGGTTAAACCCAGCCTGGGCAATTCAATGACTTAGCAAATTCTTGTCTCAATATAAAAAATAAAAAATGACCAGGGATTGGCTCAGTGCAAAAGCCCTAGGTTCAATCCCCTGTACTGCAAAAAACAAACAAACAAACAAACAAAAAAACCACAAAAAACAAACAAAAACAAACCATGAGAGCCATAGGTGACTTCTAAGGTCCAGTTATAGTGTCTGCACAAGAACCCTATGAGGGAGAGCTGTCCATCAGCTTCAGACATCCTTCTTGGTGGGGATATGACCCGGTGGTACAGCTTATCAAGCACGCTCGAGGCCCTGGGTTCCAGCCCCAGCAATGCAAAAATAAATAAATAAATAAAACTGTCTTAGGCCAAAAGAATCTTGAAAGAAGCAAAAGATCTTTCTGGACCAGAAAACTCTGCCTAAAGTCTTGTAAAGAGTTCTTAAGAACCTCCCATCTGAAGGTTGCTCCTGCTGTAGCTGCCAGCACCTGCGAAGCCGTTCTGGTGAGAGGAGCCCGTGGATCAGAACCCAGCCTCTCCTGCTGCTCAGGGAAAAGGGTTGCCTTCACCCTCAGAGCTCATCTTCTGATTTCTCTCTTTTATGAAACCCACAGAATTAAGCAAAACCCACGGAGGTCAAGACTGTCAAGTGTTTTCACTTTTATTCAGTGATAAGCAAACACCAGAATTAACAGTAAGCAACTCTAGCCCAGTTTTTCTCAGACCAATGACAAGGGACCAACTTAGCAAGCACTAATTTAAGGACCCTGACAATCTGTCACCCCAGCCCACGTAGTCTAGGTGGCCAAGCCTCAACAAGAGCAAGGCCATCCCTCCTACCACTGTTTCCAGCTGCACCCTTTAAAGGACCCAGAGCAGGACCCTGACACCTTCTAAGCCACCAGAAATGTAACACTCTGTCCCGGTTAACCAAAGACAGGAGCCTCTGGTCTTCCCACACTGTGAAAATCCATCTCAGAAGGTGCCTTGGGCACAACTCTGGACTCACTCATGAAAGCAGCGACAACCCATCTTTTTTAGCTTCCTTTACAGATTCTTTGATAATTTGCTCTCTTCCTGTACACTTGGTCTTTTTGCCTGGCTTTTTCCCCCTTAAATCTTGGGCTGCTATGCTTTTATTAACAATGTGATGATCACATCATAGTACCAAAATACCCCCCAAAACAGAGCTCAAATTTGACCCAAACATAAACTGGGATGTGTGACTATCTAGAACCCCAAAGGACAAGCAGCAGGAAAAAGTCACCCTAAACCACTGTGGGACAGATCGGGTCTCATCTGTGCAAAGGGAGTGGGACAAGGGAGAAATCTACATGCATCACTGAACGGAACTCGAGAACACTGCGTGGGGTCTCAGGACCATAAAACCTTGGCGTTTCCCCTACTTCCCAGACAGCTGCTCGTATAGTTTGGGGACGTAGTCATCCCACTCAGCCTGGTAACACGTGCCGGCCAGGGGGGCCCCGAGCTGGTACTTCTTGCGGAAGGCTGCCACCTTGAACTTGCCACGGTGGTCCCCAGATCGGTTGCTGAGGATGGGCTCATCACACTTTAGAGGTTTGTCCTGCTCGTAGACCAGCCAAACATAGCGGTGGAGGCCTGTGCCACTGGGAGGCCCGGAGCCCACATAGTCAGAGAGGACCGTGCCACTGCTGATGTCATACACATAGCGGTGGAGGCCTGGAGGGAGAGGAAGAACGGAAGATGATTACACCGGAGGCACCTGAGGTGGAGCCTTCCCGTTTTCAACTGTTTTAAATCAGAAGGGCCCAGACCACCATATCACAGGGCACTGAGGGTGCGCAGCAAGAGGACGAAATCAGGTCATTCACCCACTGAACGCCACGGGTGCAAGGCCGCTGCCAGGGGATCAGGTTCAAGCCCATCATTCCAGCCCGATGACCTGCAGGCGCCAGCCTCTGACCAACCCACATCTCACCTCCAATGTGCTCTCTGCACCTCACTCCGCCCACTTCCACTTCCGGCCCATCTCCAGCCATTCCCACCACCCCCAACAGAATGCTGATCTTCCTTCCGAGTCGGTAACGGTAACGGTAACGGTAACGTAAGTAACCAGAGCTCTAACTCTGTAATTGAATCTTCCTGCTAGAAGTAAAACCCCCAGAAGCTATGGCATTTGTCCTGTTGCTTCTTATCACTTTAAAATGCTCAGCACATAGGAGGTACTAAGTAACATGAGAAACGGAGGAAAAAGTCAAATCTTGGGGTGGGTGCCTTCATACCACAGTCAAGCCAAGGCAGGCTAATGGAGAGTATTAGTATTCTTCTGTCTCTTCAACTTACTTTCTCGGGAGACTACAGACTTGTTTTGAAATTACCTAAGCTTCCCTTAATCACAGCCAAGGATTTATTTTTTTGACACAGGATTTGCTACGTCATGGAGGTTGGCCATGAGCTCACTATATGGCCCAGGCTGGCCTTGAACTCACGGCAAGCCTTCTCCCTCGGGCTCCTCGAGTGCTGGGATTACAGCTGTGTGCCTCCAAACCCAGCAGCAAAGAATGTTTTTGACACATTAGCAACAATCTTATAAACTCATTGTGCACCTTGGCTTTATTTTTTTCTTTTTCTTTCTGTTTATAGTACTAGGGATCAAATCTAGAGGCATTCTACCGCTGACCTACGTCATCATCTCTTTTCATTTTTTATTTTGAGACAGGGTACCACTAAATTGCCCGGGCTAGACTGGAACTCCAGATCCCACTGTCTCTGCCTATCAGGTAGCTGGGAAGAAGGCATGAGCCACCACACCTGGCTAACTACGTAGCTTTCTCCAAGATCCAATTAAGTACTAGTAACAAATAAGCATCATGAGCTTTTTTAATAAGTTGTTTCTTTTAAGTTACACAAACAAACTGCACATCAATGTTCACTGCTGCACTATTTGTAACACCCAAGAGCTTGGAGGCAACCCAAATGTCCATCAACTGAGGACTGGTTATTAAACAAGGTGGTATACCCACAAAATGTGGTATTATTCCACCTGAAAAAGACATTTGGACACATGCTGCAAGATGGAGGAAGCCTGAAGATATCATGGTAAGTTGTCCAAAGTAGTCCGACTCATTGAACACACTGGGGAACACTAGTTGCCAGGAAGGGCTGGGGGAGAAGTGGGGTGCTGCTGTTCAGTGCACACAGCTTCCCTTTGGGAAGATGAAAAAGTTCTGGACAAGTGTTTAACAATAATGTGAGTATAGTTTATACCAGTGAACTGTACCACTTGCAGAATTAACAGTGAGATTTGTGACTTTTTACTGTAGTTTAAAACATTGTTAAATACTACCACTTCACACACAATAGAATGTCTAAAATTAAAAAGGACCAGCAGCAGGGCACGCATATGCCTGTAATCCTACCTACTTGGGAAGCTGAGACAGGAGGATTCCAAGTTCAAGGCCAACCTAGGTAACTATGCACGAACCTGTCTCAAGATAAAAATGTTTTAAAAGGCTGGGGACATAGCTCAGTGGTAGAGCCCTTGCCTAGCAGACATGAGGCCCTGAGTTCCCTCCCAGAACCACAAAAAAGAAAAAATAAAAGACTGTCAATATTGTTTTTGTTGTTTATTTTTTGGTACTGGGGATCAAACTCAGGACCTTGAGTTTGTGAGGCAGGCGGTGGCACCACTGAGCTAAATCCTTGGCCCTGTTTGTTTGTTTTGAGGTAGGGTCTAGCTACGTAGCCCAGGCTGGCCTCGAACTTACGGCAATCCCCTACCTCTGCCTCTCAAGTGCTGAGATTACAGGTGTGCACCACTATGCTGGGGAAGACCAACAATATTTAATTGGGGTGTGGAATTACAGAGATTTTACTTCAAATATGTTGACCAGAGTATAAAGTTTTCAACCATTTCAGTGAACTCTTGGGCAATTTTTATGATACAACAATTCTACTCCTAAACATAACATATACCCAAGAACCATAGAAACTCCTGCCCATAGAATAAAAGCAAAGCATGCAACCGCTTTATTCAAAACACCAAATACTGGGCCGGGGATTTAGCTCAGTGGTTCTGCCTCCTGCCCCACAAGCGCAAGGACCTGAGTTCTATTCCCGGTACCAAAAAAGTATATATACAGTTGAAAAAGCCAAATACTGGGGACAATGCCCATCCAGAGGGGAGTGCTAACTAACCACGGTGCACATGGGAATACTACCTAGCAACAAAAAAGAATAAATCAACTGCTACAAGCATTGACTTGGCAGGATGGGGAATCAAAACCCCAAATCACCCAGCCTGACTCCATCTATCGAGCTGCAAGTGCAGCAGAAATGACCTAGGACAATAGGCACGTAAAACAGTGAGCTCTAAGGGATTCACGGAAAAAGGCCCCACACATGCCAAAAACTCTCTGGGTGATAAAGTGACTTCTGTCTTTTTGAAATGCTTACATGTGTATGCAGCAGTCAGATTTGCTACCTGAAACCTTATGATCTATATTTATTTACTATATGGACTCTGGACCTTACTAGAAGAATCTGAAAAGAAAAATGAATTACCGAGGCTTTTTTTAAATGCTCCTTCTCGAGAGAATTGCTTTATGCTCATGTGTATGCTCCCCATAATTAAATTGCCTGATTTTATAACTGCCCTGGAGAACTTAACAGATCCCTAGGAAACCTGGCCCTCTACCCTCCCTAGTATGAATGCACTCGAGGACTCAAAGCCATCTGGAAGCTTCGGGGCCGGAGCTCATGACCAGCAGTCCTTATCAGGCACTTCTTATACCGCTTCATGGCAGAACGGTGTGCACAAAAGCTACTCTTCTGCCTGCTTCACCCACCATCATCTCCGTTCCAGCAATGGAAACATGCTGTGCCCCAGTGCGCCCTCAGGCGTGCTCAGGGGAGTCGCAGGATAACCATCTCTCATCGGCCTTGCTTTACGTAGAACAGGATCAACGGTGTGTGGACTGACTTCAATCCAGCTCGAATACAGCCATCTAGATCTTTCAGATACTAAACTAGATTTGGGGAGAAGGGAGCCATAAAGTGATGTACTAGATAATTTTTTATAATCAATTTGAAAACTATGATCATTTCTGAGTCTCTTTCAAAAAATTAGATACTCAGAGATCACATATGACAAAGGCTGAATAGAGAGCAGAGATGACTCGACTGTGCTCAGCCCATGTGTACCCCCAGAAGGCCCTTCTACAGCACTGTTTCCCTCTTGTCTCTCCTGCTTCTTAAAAGCCCACATCTGAGCAGTCCACGAAGTTCCAGCCACCCCACACTCCAGATCTGAATGTGCTCAGGAAGGCAAATGCCTTAAGGGAACCCAAGCAGCCTTCTTTCTCCAGTAGGCTCATAAATAAAACAAATTCTAATGTGCATCCAGCCTCTCCTCCTGCCTCCCCACCCCTGGAACCAGTCTTTACCAACCTGTGCCACTGGGAGGCCCGGAGCCCACATAGTCAGAGAGGACCGTGCCACTGCTGATGTCATTACCCTTCATGTTGACCACCAGAAAATGGTGCCATTCCCTGTGCGGAAGAACAGAGCGCGTCAGCACCACAGGCTGGGGCACTCACTGCACAGCGGAGAGAACTTGCACTGAGCACATGCCCCAGCCCAGACACACAGCAATGAACAAGACACAGGCCCTGTCTTTCCGACCATTGCAAACCTCGTGCCTGCAAAAGGAGTGCCCAGATCCTTCATCGCCCTGAAAGTCTCTGAGGCAAAAGTCAGCATGCTTTGAAGGGGCCCAAGAGCCATGTCTCCAATGTTTTGAAGCTTTGGAATCCATACTATCTGCCACTGCAGGAGGAAAGCAGCCACAGAGACATATATCAACTATCACGTTTGGGTTCCGACTCAGCTCTATTTATGAACACTGAAATTTGAATTTTGTTTAATTTTCACATCTCAAAATATTTTTTTCCCCAGTGCCAGGGAATGAACTCATTCATGATCTCGTGCTTGCCAGGTAGGCACAGCGCCATTGAGCGACATCCCTGGTCCCTTACAAAAATTTTTTTTTTTTTTTTAGTTTTTTCCTCATCTGAAAAATGTAAAACAAATTCTTAGCACACAAACACAGCCAAAGATGACTATTGGAAGTTTAAAGGTTCCTGCCCAAAGGCAAAGAGACAGGAAATGGACACTCCAGCTTAAGCAAAGCACAGCATCCCAAATCAAGTTCTCTCTGTGTGGCAGAGGAATTAACACCAGGTAGGTCATGCTCTTCGTTTTTCCCAACTTGCCTGAATTTGGGAGACTGCCTGCTGGGAGCATCCGGGTCTGTCAGGACCAAGGTGTAGAGTTTCCCTGGATCCAGACCATCCCAGGAAATGCTGGTGGGTCTGTTTTTAACCTGTAGAAAGGAGCCACTGTAGAGTTAAAATGCCAAAAATGATGACGAAAGCAACTATTTCTTTGATTCTTTGATTCTCAGATTCTTCAAAGGTAAAACAGTCAATTATTAATAAAAATTACTGGATTTTTGCCTGTACTGGGTGCTGGGAGCCAAAGTTTTATATATACCTATTAGTTATCTTAAGTCTCAACAACACTATGGGGCTAGTAGCCTAGCAGGTGAATAACAGAAAGAGGTGAGGCCAGAATCTAACCTTGGTCCCAGGGCCTCCTCTCAACCACAACTAACACTCTGACAGGAATGGCAAGGTCTCTGGATTTGGAGACCAGGAAGTTACTTGGTGCCTGCTAAAATGAAATAAATCTGCATTAACTAGACATTTAAAAGTGAAAGAGGGAAGGCCGGGCGTTGTGGCGCACGCCTGTAATCCCAGCACTCAGGAGGCTGAGGCAGGAGGATCGCTGTGCGTTAGAGACCAGCCTGAGCTACATAGTGAGTTCCAGGTCAGTCTCACTACATAGTGAGACCCTGTCTCAAAAAACCAAAAAAAAAAAAAAATAAAAAAAAAAAAAGAGAGAGAGAGAGAGAGAGAGAAGGCCTGGGCAAAAAATGAGCAGGGAGGCTGGGTAGAGGAGAGGATGGAACAACCTCCAAGATGTTCAATTCATATTTCAAACACCTAGAATAAACTCCGTAAACATCCTAAACAGTGAAAGCTCTGGGTAATTTATTCACACCTTGCCAGGAGCTTCATAACCAGCAACTAGCAACCTTGTCGAGAAATCTAGTTTCTCAGAGGCCCAAAGCCAAAGAGTAAAACAAGGCCGCTGAGCTGGATCCTTCCAGCCAGCTGCAGGGCACATTCCCTTTGGCTGGCTGCGCGCTTTTGACCGCTAAAACAAAGGAGAAATCGCCGGGAGACGCTGACCACCGGTTACGTAATACGTCACTGTCGGGTGGGGCACCTGCTCTCCAAACCCAGGCCAGAAGAGCCGAGATCACAGGGAGCCATCGGGGAGGGCACAGCTTATGCCGTGCCCAGCAAGATGCCTATTCGGCCCTGCCCCCAGGATCGAGGGTGTTTCTGGGCCTAAGCTTCTCCTGTGCTTGGAAGCCCCAGGAAAGTGGATCAAGGTCTCCCGCAGGCCTCGTTCCCTGGCCGATCGGGGTGGCTCCTGAGCCTGCAAAGCCCTCCCGCCCCGTCTCCGCGGGCCCCTCCGCTCCCCGGCACAGGCCTCGCAGCGCTCGGCCCAGCTCCGCGGTACCTGGGTGGGCGTCAGCACTTTGCCCAGCTCGTCGACCTCCACCCCGCCATAAGCGACCCGCAGTGGGTGCTTGGGCTGCTCCTCCACTTCCTGCAGGCTCAAGGGCCCGGTCCACTTGCTGACGTCTGCCGGCATGGCGACACGGAGCGGGGGGTTAGGAACTAGCTGCAGCCAAAGACACGCGCACGCGGAGAGCAAGACTCTGCCCAGTCCGCAAACTGGCGGGAGGAGGCCAGACTCAGAGGCCACGCGAGCGCACTCCCGCCCCGCCCCTCCCGTACCTCCAATCAGCAGCGAGGCCCGGCCCTCTCTGATCTCTGATTGGCCATGCTCCGGTAACGCGGGTCGTCTCGCTCTGTCGAGTCAAAGCAACTCGCTGTGTGCTGTAGCTGAGTTCTCCGGTTCAGTAGCTTGGCGTGCGACCTCGTTTCCCGAAGTACAATTGAGGTAGTGTTTTTTTGTTTTTGTTTTAAGCTTATTGCACGAATCCTTCCTCCACACTTTCAGTTCAGAGATGATAAGGACCGCATCTTTTACATTTTTAAACTCAGTGGTTCCGGCGCCTGCCTTGCAAGCACAAGGACCTGAGTTCGATCCCCGATGCCAAAAAAAGCTTGTTTTTCATCGTTTTCGTGTATTTCCATTTGATAACTACATGGCGAGAAGGCCTGAGAGACCATGGAGCATATTCTCCGCCAACTAATATTTTGCTCACATATTTCGTCTCTCCTTACCCACTTAATCCTCACAATGTTCTTGTGATCATGTGACCACCACGATGATTCTTTTTTTTTTTTTTTTTTTTTTTTTTTTTTTTTTTTTTTTTTTTTTTTTGCCGACAATGGCTCTGCCTTTCCCAAAAGTGCCCTTCCCGTGGCTGCTGCTTGCTTTCTTTTTGCTGAACATGAGCACTATTTAGTAGAGCTCAGCTAATCTGACCCTGGAGCGCCCTTTCGCATTACTACCTCCCTCTAAAGAATAAAAAGTTATTTTCATTTATTATAAAATAATGCAAGCTTATTGTAGAAAACTCAGAGGAAAAAAATCCTAAGTAAATAAGCATTTTTATTCCACTACCTGGATTTAAACATTAGGAACAATATAGGGTGTGTCTTGCCAATTTAAAAAGTGTTTATGAGTCTAGATTATTTGCCCAAAAATCGCTTGTATCCTACCATCATAGAATATCTGTATCAAAAACATTATCATTTGTAGTGGCTTCTTTTCATCTAGATGCACCATAATTTATTCAACAAATCTGTTGATGTTAGAGGTTTACTGTTTTGTTGGGGTGGTTTTTTTGTTTTTTTGTTTGTTTTACAAATATTGAAATCCATAAATGTTTAAACACTTGCCATGTCTTAGGAAAATGTATTGGACAGGGGCTTGTGTTCATGTATTAGGTGAAAGGATATCACCAAACCTAAAAACATTAAAAGATGTAGACTTTACAGAGGTGTGCACTGGTGCACTTCCATAACCCCAGCACTCAGAAGGCAGAGGCTCCAGGACTGCGGGGTTGAAGGTTACACTGTGAGTTCAAGGGCCGTGTAGCAAGCTAAGGCCAGTCTGGACTACGCAGCAAGAACTTGTCTCAACAAACAAACAAAAAGGATATACTCTAAAGAGGTGAATCACAGCTAGTTAGGTGTCGGTGTCCAGACTGAAGCCATGCCCTCATCTGGGAAGCACCGATAGGATCATTGGTTCTTTCCCTCATTCATCTCACAAATGCATTTTGACTTCATTCATTCCGTAAATGTGTTTTCCCAGAACCCCTAAGCAAAAGGAGAAAAGCCCCTGCCCTCAGAGCATGTGGTCTGGTAGAGGGGAGAACTCGGACGATCCGCAGTAAATTCAGAGTTACAGAGTACGGTCAGCACCAGGGAGAGGCCAGAGTGTGGGTCAGTACCAGAGAGCAGCCAGCCTGGATTCCGCCCCGAACTCCCTGTGTGACCTCAGGAAAGGCTTAGTGTGAGGATAATGCTGTGAGAAGTAATAGACACAGAACCCCTTGGTAAAGGTAGAAGACAGACACCTCCAGATACTTCTGCTCCTGCTACCATTCTTGTCCCTACACTCCCCAGTAGGCGGTTGTTACCGGGCCCTTCAATTCTATCTCCGTAATGTCTTTCCAGTGGGTCTGCCTCTGTCCTCTGCTGCTGTCCCTCCCTAGGAATCGTTCTTCCTGACCACTGCCTCCACTCTTCCTCTCTGCCAGCCCATCCTTCAGTGCACTGCGAATTTGCCCATATGTAAATCAGGTGGGATGGCTCCCTTCCCTGCGCACCCTAAAGTACTCTGTGGCTCCCTCTTGCCTCTGGATTAAATCCAGACTCTTATTAGGCTCCTACAGACTTCTCCTGTGCCGCTCTCCTTGCGTTCTTTTCTCCAAACACCCAGAATGTGGTCCATAAGTGTGACTTGGTTGATTCTAATCCCTGCAACCTGGAGAGAAGAGCCTAGGGCTAACAGGGTCAGGGAAAGACAAGGAGGTGGAGGGCTGATCCAGAGGTGTGCAAGCCAGTGTGCGCCACTTTACTGACCATTCCCACTACCTGGTGCCTGGTGCGGACAGAGTCTCACTTCATCCTAAAGGCAAATAAATTACCATGAAGCAACCAGGGGAATGTACGGCTCAGACCTCTGCCTGGCTGGGGCTGCTGGGCTCTGCTTTAGGCCCAGGCTCTGCCTGGCAGCCAGTGACTCAACAGGTCAGGGAACCTGAAGCGGGAGTGGCTCTGTGAGGCAGGCTCACCGGCATTCCCTGGGGCTACCCTAGGGCTTCCCCTTTCTCCTCCGCTTTCCCTCACAGCCATTTCTCCTAACAAATCCCTCCTTGCACATCACATCCCACCTTGTGGTCAGCTTCTCAGATGACCAAGAGTGCCACTGTCAGGGCTGTGGGCCATGGACCAGGGGGCAGATGAGCTTTGCTGGGATGAGGATCTCTGTAAGGACAAGTGATGCTACAAATAAGGCTGAGCAGAGTGGAAATGGATTCTCCCCCAGAGCCTCCAGAAAGAGCACAGCCATGATGGGGCCTGGCCCCTTGTACTACCAGGGATTGACCCCAGAACACTGAGCTACATCCCCTGCCCTTTTTACCTTGAGGCGGAGTCAGGCTGGACTCAAATCTGCCATCCCAAGCAGCTGGGATTACCTGGCCCTGTGACACTTTCACTGTGGCCCGAAGACTTCTCCTCTTCCTCCTCCTCTTCTTTCTTCTAACCCTCCTCCCCCCTCCCCGCTTCTCCTCTCCCTTCCTCTTCTCTTCTTGCAGTGCTGGGGATCAAACTCAGGGCCTTATGCACGCTAGGTAAATGCTCTGCCACTGAGCAACACACCCAGCCCTTGCTTTTTGGTTTTTATTTCTATTTCCACAAAGTTTTATTTTCGTTCTTTTTACAATATACATACATAAACCAAGTTTTACAAACACTTATTTCTGCATTATCTCCTTGAATATTCTTGTGAACACTTTCTAATGTGTAAATTGCTGTTTTGGATAAGCGTCCTCCAAAAGCCTATGGGTTAAATAGGTTGTGGCGCCAAGGAGAGGTGGCCACGCCCAAGAGGAGGGGCCTGGTGAAAGCCTTAGGTCCCACAGAGGGGTGTGCCTTAAAGGGGGTTGTGGGATGGGCTCCTCCTTCTTACTCTTTCTTTTTCCGGCCAGGGGCTGCGGGGTTTTCTCCATCAGTTGCTCACCGCCTATCATTTTTCCAATGCAATGGGGCCAACGCCTCAGAGGTAGAACCTCCAAAACTGTGAGCCCAAACAAACCTTTCCTCTTTATAAGGTGATCAGCTCTGATATTTGTTGTATTTCAGAAAACTAATACCTACCGTTAATTATATTTCAAAAATATGTATTTTAAAACAATTGCCAGCCAGTCATACTGGCACATACCCATAATCCCAGTGCTATGGAGACTGAGGCAGGAGGTGTATCGTGAGTTCAAGGCCAGCCTGGAATACATAGTGAGATTTTGTCTCAAAAAACCAAAAGTAAATAAATAGAGTAATTGCCTAATATGAAAATATCACAAATTATTTAATCATTAATTTGTTGTTAGCTATTGAGGCTGTTTCTCATTTACCCCCTTGTTTGACAGTTCAGGAAGCTGTCAAAGGCTTTAATCCACCCGAGAAGAGAAACTAAGTGGTCTGCTCTTGGCAGAATGATTCATGATCCCTTTGGAGTCAAGGACAGGGCAGGGCATCTAACGAAAGGCACCGTTTCCTAGCTAGAGCGGAGCAGCCAGATGTTCCTGCAGATGTCTACAGAAGCCTAGTCTTTATCCAGAAGCTGGGAAGTGCCCTGAAACTCCAGCAAAAGTTCTACCCCTTAGGAAACTTGGGAGCTCTTGGCATACAGCAAATACTCAATTTTTGCTGACCAATCAGAACACCATTCATGTATTCTGTCAGCTAGCTTCCTGTTACTGTAACAAGTACCCAAGACAATGACCTTATAAAGAAAAAATGTTATGCTCACCGTTCAGCAGCACATATACTAAAAGAGAAAAGTTTTACTTTGGCTCAGTTTTAGAGGTCTCTGTCCATGATCCAGTGGCCCTATTCCTTTAGAGACTTGTTGCAAGGAGCATGTGACAGAATAAAGCTCTTCGCTTCATGACAGTGAAGTAAAAAGAGGGAAAGGCCAGGTACCTTCAATCCTCTTCAAGGCCACACCCTCCAATGACCTAAAACCTCCCACTAGGCCCCACTTCTTTTTGTTTTGTTTTGTTTTTTTGAGACAGGGTCTCACTATGTAGTTGAGACTGACCTACAACTCACTATGTAGCTCAGGCTGGTCTCGCGAACTCACAGTGATCCTCCTGCCTCAGCCTCCTGAGTGCTGGGATTACAGGTATGCACCACCACGCCCGGCCTAGGCCCCACCTCTTAAAAGTTCCAATGCTGCACATAGCACCATGTACTGGGGTCCAAATACATGGGCCTTGGGGAAACATTCAGGATCCCACTATAGCACATACTAGAGCAGGTGTGGAAAGTAATGAAGAAAAAGAAATGTCACACGTATTAACATGCATCCAGTGTCTGTGTGCCTTCCTCGATTGTCATTGTTCCTGTGTATGTCTAGGCTGGGACCTCCAGTAGGCCCTGGTTGCGAGTAAATACAAATGAGTGAATGAGTAAGCCAATAAAACCACAGATTGTTTTTGTTTGCTGAATGAGGAAATCCACTGACAGATTTTAGAGCAATGGCTTCATTCCAGTTTAGC